ATCAGTGCATGTTACGCAAACATTATCATAGCTCAGTTTCACAATATAGACGTTATTGTATGGATATTTAAAAATTCATATAAGCTATGACTGCATCATAGCTTGCACGATATTTTTAAATATCCATACAATAACTAGTACATACTGAATGTAGACTCTAATAAAAATATATGATAAATTATCCAAAATACAGCAGTCTTTTCAATCCATGCATGTCTTTTGCCTTATTGATTGATTCGTTTAAATGTTTATTGTTCATGCTTATTACATATAGCAATTATTATATGGTTTTTTTTTACATTGGATATGGTAAACTGCCAAATTTTCTTTCATACAAAGACATTAATAAATTAATTTTTAATTATTTTATGATAAAACCAATTAAATAACATAGGGCCTTAAATTCAATGCAAGTTTGTTAACCTAATTTACATCAAGATGGTATTTATAAAACTTAGTTTTTAAAAAATATCATTATAAATTATTATATGTTGGAATTAAAACACTGCTTATTTGCTATTGCTAATGTTAATTAAGATCCTGAAAAATTCAATGCAAAATTAGTTAACCTAATTTACGTCGAGATTGTATTCAAAACTTAGTTATTAAAAAATGTCATATTATTGTATGTTGGAATCAAAAAATGTTGCTTATTTGCTATTGCTATTTTACATTTGTTTCATATTTTTATTTTTCTTGTGACAAAAATCAATAAAGTCAAACAAGTTCTCATATAATTGTGCATCTGTTTGTTCAGTTTGTAAGTATTGTTGAAATCCTCCTAGGAGATTTTCACCATTGTTTAAATTCGTAGTAATATTAAATTCGGAGGGTTGAAGTACAGCATTAGTCTTATTGATAACGTTGTTGTCATAATTAGTAAGGAAAATATTATCAGACGAAATAGAATATGAAAAAAAAGAAGTGGGAGATGATGAGTTTAGATTATCATTTGCGCAAGAAAAAGGAGAAGGAGAAGAAGAAAAAGAAGAAAAAGAAGAAGAAGTGTGTGGATAAGATGTTGTTGAAATCACACAATCGTTATTATTATTACTATCTTCTTGTTTTTGTAGTAGTTGATAAGACGGGCTTGTATTATAGTTTGTGTACAAAAAAGCAGAAGAAAAATCTGATGACGAAACTGTATAATTGGCATTATTATTATTATCTATTTGTTTTTGTTGCGGTTCTGGTTGTTGATAAGACGAGTTTGGATTATTATTTGTGCAATGGAAAGAGGAAGGAGAAAATTTTGGAAAAGGTGATGATGAAATTGTACAATATTTATCTTTGGTATTATAAGAATTTTCTTTTTGTGATTCTGGTTGTTGAGTAACAAAGATGATTTTTTTTGGTAGTTGATTCCCCGAAATGGTACTTTCGTAAATTAACTTGTGTTTTTGAAGAGCTAATTTTGATAATACTTTAAAGTAACTTTTGACTTTGTTCGATTCATTCTTCCAGGCATCACTGGCTTCCTTTGAAAGAATTTTCCAATCCTTTTTACTCTCAAGAGATTTATGATTTGCAGCATAATTTTTGCGGTATAAGAGAAAAGCGTTTTGGGATTTTGGAATATCTATGGAATTGACATTATTGGAATTAGGTGAAATGAGTTCAGTGATTTGTGAGTGTAACTTACAAGGAGGATAGAAGAGAAGGTGAATCTGATCACTATCAAGTCGTGCTTTATCAGCATAAAGTAATATTTCATCCATATACATTAGTAAAATATATTATCGTTTTTGTTAAAATAGTATATTTTTTACAAAATCAATTGAAAAATGTTTTATTATAATAAAATTTTTTGTCGAGTTTTTATAACTTTCTCTATTACTTATTATTTAATCAAAAAGGATTAATTAAAAAAAATTATGGGTAAAGTAAAATAAAAATTCTCAATCAACGAAGTATTTATATATATATTTGTTTTAATGGTTATTATAGTAAAGAAAAGATGAAGAAACAACAATGTGTGAACAACGGTGTGTGCATGGACTTGACATAGTTTAATTGTAGTACAGTATAATGTGGAAAAATCTCCAACTTGTTCTTCATTTAGGAATCGTCTGCAAACAATTATTATGTATTTACATTACACTTGCACATTCCGACTTTATGCACGACAAACAGCGTGCAAAATTGTGTGCGGGCGCGTGTGTTGCGTTAAAGCAGTGAGCGTTGTGCCATTTATGGTTTCATTGGAACATTCCAACAAATTCAATTTTCATGGAATATTCCAACAAATTTCAATTTTCATCGGAACATTCCAAATGTGGTTAATCAATGAAATTCAATTACAGTATCACACGAATTTTATTGGTCAATATCAATTGAATACCTACATTGGAACCACATTGGAACATTCCAATAGCATTACAATATTCCAATTGCACAACGCTCCATTAAAGTAGCCAATAATCTATTAGCAGGATTTGTGCAGAAAGTTCTGTAACAAATTGAAAAAAAAAATTATATTAATTAATATTTATTATTAACAAACATACTATTATATTAGAATAATTCCGATGTTTAAGTATAATTCTATTTTTATTGATAATGAAAAATAAACAAACATACTAGAATAATTTCATTTTTTGTCATTGATGCTTATTGATTAAAATGTCATAAATACAAGATGTTTTTTAAATTCAATGTTTCAATCCAATCAAATCAATAAAAATCTAGACAAAAAAAAAAACAATTTTTTATTGCTATTTATTCATTTAAAAATGCTTAATCACAAAAACATAATAGAAAAACTGTTAACAAAAATCGGTTTCATGATTACACATGGTTTGAAACAGATGAAGAAAATGAAGATACAGTCCTCTTTTGTAACTCTGTAGAAGTAGAAATGGAAGTACAAAATTTCCACAAGGCACAACAGATTTAAGTCTAGAAGGAATTAATGAACATGAAACACCAGAATCACAACTTCAAAACAAAATAAATAAAAATGAATTAGCAATTATGAGAAATGATTATTTTTTATCAAACAGAATTTTTCCTCTTATATTTATCCTGATCATGTGAATTAATGACATTAGAATTTAAAAATAATAAATCAATAATTACTGAAAAAACTTCTACTCTGAAACCTGTTGCTTTAGAAAAAGCATCTACTCCTAGATCAACATATGGGAGCTATACAAATCCTAAATCTGCTTCTGATTTTTTGGATAGTATAGCTTCTATAATAAAAAAATCACTTTTTGAAGAATTGGACTCTTGAATTTATTGGAATATAATGATTGATGAAACCAACAGTATTGATAATAATAAAAATTTAGCAATTGTGGGAAAATATATTGTTAATAATATTCCTTATATGAGATATTTGGGCATGATTAATCTAGAATCTACCACTGCAGAAAATATTTATAACCAAATCTTATCATTTTGTATTTCAAATGAAATATTTCACAATAATTCATTTGGAAGTGATGGAACTTCCAATATGACAGGAAATAAAAGTGGTGCTGCTACAAGGTTAAAAAAAATCAATCTTTTTATTTCCACAATTCGTTGTATATCACATTGACTTCATTTAGCTGGAAAGAATGCTTTTGGTGAAGTAGAATATTTTCAAAAATATGAAAAAATATTATGAAATTTATATTCATATTTTTCTATATAGATCACATAAAAGACAAAACTTATTAAAATTGATACAGGAAATTAATGATGAACCAACACTTAAAGTATTGAATTTATCTGACACTTGATGGTTGTCATTATCAAATTCTGTACATAATTTACATTAAAACATGAATTCAGTACTTGCTGCTTTAAATGATGATATGTTAGAAGGTGATGAGTATGCAAATGTTTTACCTGGGAAATTGAATCAAGATTTCATTTCTACAACAATTTTTCTTGCTGATTTAACAAAATATTTCAATTAGATAATCAAACATTGATGATGCTGCAATTAAAAAGATAATAGCAGAATTATAGGTGATGGAGAAGTTCTACCAAATCATGGCATGATATTCAAAAATTATTTAGAAGAAAATTATCTTTTAGTACTTTCATTTGTTAAAGATTACTCACTAGCAATGATAAAAGCCATCAATGATAGATTCCCTCCTGACTCTGAACTATTTTCTTTGTTTAGAATTTTTGATCCAAATGAACTTCCTGATACTGAAAATGATTTAAATCTATATGGTCAGAGTGAGATAGAGTTTTTAGATAAATTTTGTGGAGATACTAAATTGGTGAATGATGAATTTTGTGAAATTGTTGAAAAGGAAAACTCATAGAAAAGTGGAACTCTAAAATTCTATTTGTATCCCTATAAAAATACAGAAATGTATTTTATTCTATTGTGGAAACACATTTTGGATAAGATGAATATTTTTATTTCAATTATCCAAATCTAACAATTGTTGTTAAAATAACACTCCTTATGCCTTTTTCTAATACACATGTGAAAGAATATTTTCACAAACAAATCTGATTAAAAACAAATTAAGAAACAGAATGCATGTAAATACATTGAATAGTCATTTAATGGTTTTACTAAATGGTCCAGATATTCAAGATTTTAATTTTGAAAAAGCATATAAACATTAGACAATAAAAAAGAAAGAATAAATAGTTATTCAATAATAAATTATTTTTCACTAAAAAATTTTTTTGGTGATGATCAACAAAATGTGCGCATTTTTTATATAACACATGCGCCCGCACTCAAAAAATAAACTCATTAAAAATCAAATAAACTCAAAATTTTAGTATTTTTTAATCCATTAAAATAAACAAACATTAAAAATGCCCAAATTAAGTTAATAATGATAATAACATCAGCAATTATTCAAGAAGGAATCTTGACCAATGGTTAAGACAAAGAATATACCCATTAATAGAAGAAAAAACATTGGACATTTACAACTATTATCAGCATTTAATTAATAAACACAACAATAATGAATACTATAATTATTGTCTTGCTTTCAAACTGATGAAAAATAGTTTTCCCGACATCCATCAGAATTTACTCGGCTTGTTAGCAATTTGGATAGGAGTTCATCAGATTACGAAAGGTACAAGGTCACTATATACACTAGGTGCTTTAATGGATTTATTGGCCGATGAAATTCTGCAAATCAAGATTGTTATAATCAACTAGTAAATATCAATGACGAAGATGATCATGTGTGGATTTTTACGCATCATTTGAACCAATTTATAGTAATAATAGTAAAAGAAAGATGTGAAGAATGACTAATTTAATCTCCATTATAAATTTATTCTTTATCTTTTTATTTTATCTTTATTTTATTTCTTAAAGCTAAATTATGATAATATTTTTAAATAACAAACTTTTTGCAGTTTTTGTTAAGTAGTAATATTGCGAGGCATCATTAACAATTATGCCTTAACTTTCTTGTCAATTAATTAGTTTACGAATTTAATTTGGTTCCCTCTTTCTTACAACTAGACGAATCTGTGAGCACACCTAATGGTACCAGATAACTGTAAATAAATAAAGATGGTCCTATAAAGTTCCTTGTGATCGATTTATTTCAGTCGTTTACATTTATTGGTTGATTGCAAATTTGCCTTGGCTTACTTTGTCAAACAATTTAAACATCTTATTCAACAATCTTACATTCATGATTACAATAATATTACAAGTATTTTCGATTAACCTTTGGACGATGTTTCATCAACACCCACTAGTTAACCAACGGTCAGTTCAAGCCTTTGCTTACTTACTAAAGCAAATTATGTTACTAATCGTTGTTAACACTCGCTAATTAACCCTGACCTTGCTTACTTGTTTACTAAAGCAAATAAACATGGCATTTTAGCAAAGCTCCACAATTATTACTTTTACCAAAACACTTACTACACTTGTTGCTTTTATCAAAAAAAGAAAAATAAAGACAATGTTTTGTTTTTATTTTATTTATTTTAAAAGTTTATTAACGATTAATTTTTATTTAATAAAAATAATGATTCTATCGCAGTTTTTATATTTATTAGAACATATTATTTTCCTCTGAGAGGACCCGAAGTTATTATTATGCTTTTTCAAGCGAAGATCAGAAGTTAAGGATAAAGATAAAGATGCAAAGTAACTTAATCAATCAATGTTGACAATAATTAGTAATAGTAAACCCCATTTTGGAAGAAAAGAAATATTAATACAATGTTATATATTTAATAAGAATTATTATTATTATTATATTATTACTTACCACGCGTAACAATAAACCAGTAAACCCCCGTTAATACAATAAGAATTATTAGTAACATATTATTATTACCTTGATGGTCGCGTACATAATAATAAAACCCGTTAATACAATGTTATATATGTATACAATAAATTATTATTATTAACATTAGTAATATATTATTACTTATCTTGATGGTCGCATGCATAATAATAACAGTAATAAATCCATTAATATAATGTTATACAATAAATTATTATTAATAATATAGTATATTCATACATGTTTTGCAAATAATTAGTGAATCATCTTTTTTGATTCAAGTATGTTTTGCAAAAAATAAGTAGGAAATAAGTAAGAAATGAGTATCTAAACTTTTTGTAGGGCATTGACATAACAAGTAATTGCATCATCCATGTAGTAATGATACCAAGGCCATGCATGAATGAAACTTTTAATAATGTGTCTACCCAGATCTCTGGGGTTCACAATAATAAATTGGTTTTCCTGATTATCAATTATGGTTCCTTATGAATAATAAATCTGATGTTGATTGCAGGTGTCAGATTTAATTAAAATTTTCCTATCACAAACATATGGTTGGGTGCTTTCACACACCTCCATAATTGTGGAATTGTTTCCACAGTGAAGGCCCCCATATGTTGGAAGGATTTGGACAAAACTTTTCTTTATCTTCCCCTCAGACCAGGCTTGCTGTCACCATATGGGCATTGATCACTGCTTGTGTGATGATTGTGTTATACCAATCTGTAGCAGCTAAAGATTGGTATAACACATAAAGTTGGCACCTGCAACTGATTCAAAGTTCTCCAGCTCAGAAGGTTGCAACCTGGGTTGCTGTTTTGGATTTTCCCTGGATTCAGAGCTTTGAGTCCTGGGTTGCTGTCTGGTCAGTGGCATGTCTGCTCACCCCTATTTATTTAAATAACAAATTCAGTTGGCCAAATAAAAATCAAAAGAAACAGAAAATTCAGGAATGATTAATTTATAATGTAATATACCAAAACCCAAACCATTTTATGACTTTTTCTTGTTGGCCATATTGCTGACAAAGATGTATATAAACATGCAATAATTTTAATCTACGGGACAGGGGACTGATTGGGCAAAATCCCCTACCCAAAATTATAAATTGGTTAAGGAAAGTAATTATACAAAACAAACACTATTTTACAACTTCCCTCTTAACACCAGAGCCCAAATGCAATATTAGGGTCACCAGCCCCACCCCAAATTTGCAGCCTGTGCTTGAAACGAGTTGCAGATTCTCGTTGCTTTGATGGATCTGGATGTTTACATGGCACTACAATTCATCAACAGAGTTGCAACTTGGTTACAGAGCCATCCTTATCCTAGAGGTAGGATCGTCGCAGGCAAATTATTCATCATATTCATCAGTAGAAGTATCGTCATGATGTTTATTCATCCAAAATGTTCTCCATTGTAGTTTTTGTATATTTGTAAAAAAAAATTTTTTTTTAAAGAACTTTTTTTCTTTCAGCCACAAATATGTATCATAAAATATATTAATTAATGTTAAAGGCAGTTTCTATTTGTACACTACGTAAACACGGTGTTACATTGCACATTATTTTACATTATATTGGTTCACAATCACATTGGATCATTCCATCATTTGATCCGAACAACCTTTTTTGGCCCGTTTTTGGGAAGTTGAACAAGTGCCAACCACACAATCTCTGATCATCACTTTATTTTATCATATCAGATCATCCCATCATTTTCACAAATCAACCTTGTATCATGTTATATATACGCACATATGAATCATATGTAAGATGCAAAATGAAATGTTATGTGTTTCAGGGTGTCCCAAACCCTCAAGTTTAAAAAAAAGTTAATTTTTTTTATTGATGCAACTTTTATTATGTAATGCACGTGACACATGTACATACACTACTTGTTTGCTAAGAAATTTTCAATGTTAAATATATCTAAAAAAAAATTAAATTTTACCTGAAGTACAACAATTCAGCGTTGACACCCTAAAGTTGTAAAACTGTAATAAATATTGCAAGTGTTCAATCAGAGTTATTGGAGTCACCAAATCTGGAAAACTAAATTAACATCACTATATACAACTATACTGCTTGATTAGAGTTTCTATTCGAATAAGGGTTTATTCGAATTATTTGTTTTACTCGTTATGAATTTGAGTATTTGAATTACATTGAAAGTTTATTTGAATAAAATGAATAATGAATAATTCGATAATTTGATAATTCAAAAAGACAAATTAAATGAATAATTCAAATAAAACAAATAAACAAATAAAACAAATAATTCATTGATAATTTAAATAAAACAAATAAAATAATTCGAATAATTCGAATAAAACGAATAATAATAATTCGAATAATTCGAATAAAACTAATATTTCGAATATTTCAAACAAAACAAATAATTCGAGTAAAACAAATAATTCGAATATTTCAAACAAAACAAATAAACGAATGGTTTGAATAAAATGAATAAACAAATAGTCGAATAAACAAATGACAACAATTCGAAAAATAAAACGAATAAACGAAATAAAATGAATAATTCAAGCAAAACATAGTTTGAATAAACAATTCAAATGATAAACGAATGATGTCAATTCGAATGATAAACGAATGATGTCAATTCAAATGATAAGCGAATGATGTCAATTCGAATGATAAACGAATGATGTCAATTCGAATGATAAACGAATGTCAATTCGAATGATAATAATAAACGAATGATGTCAATTCAAATAATAAACGAATGATGTCAATTCGAATAATAATAATAAACGAATGATGATAATTCGAATAATAATGATAAACGAACGATGTCAATTCGAATGATAAACGAATGGTGATAATTCAAATGATAAACGAATGGTGATAATTCGAATAATAATGATAAACGAATGATGTCAATTCGAATAATAAAGAATGATAACAATTCGAATGATAGATAACAATTCAAATAATAAACGAATGATAACTATTCAAATAATAAACTATTCAAATAATAAACGAATGATAAACAATTCAAATAATAAAGAATGATAACAATTCAAATAATAAATGAATGATGATAACAATTCAAATAATAAAAGAATGATAACAATTTGAATAATAAACGAATGATAACAATTCGAATAAATAAATGATTTGAATAATTCAAACAAAAATCTGTATTACGAATAGAAACTCTGCTCTATTGCAGAGTCATAAAGAAAGTTCGATATACAGGAACCCAGAATTTTTGATTCTTTTTTTAAATCAAACACCCAACGTAAGTAAAAAATTTGTTCCCAAAAAATTATTTTATCCTAATGATAATTCCATTATCACTGTCTATGTTATTGTCATTGTCATATCCTTGTCATATCCTTGTCCTTGTCCTTGTCCTTGTCCTTGTCCTTGTCCTTGTCCATGTCCATGTCCTATTCTTAAGAAATCAGTTCATTCCCATGAAACTCTGATTTACTTTTTGGGACACTCTTCAGTTAGACCGGTTTTATTGTTTTTATTTTAAACGGTAATGGTGATCATCACAGAAATTATAAAAATTTTAAATGCCACCAGCTAATCCCATTTGGATTCATTTCAATAAACTTGGTCAAGTATCAGGCTTTCAGCAACCTCGCACACAATATTGTAATTATGAAATAAATGCTGCTGTTGGTAAATGTGTTGTGTATTTTAAAATTTGTTCAAGAGTAAGTATAACAACTCTCCAAGGGTATTTTGGTCCAAATTTTCAACCCAATGCAAATCAACGTAATTCTTGTTTACCAATAGAACAAAATAATGTAATCACTACAAGACATTCACAAAATTCATCAATCGATAATTTTGTTGATAGGATATCTTTGGTAGAACAAGCTGAAGCTGGATTATTATTTGCTCAAGCAATTTATCAATGTGGACTATTTTTATCATTACCTGAATTAGAACCAATTAAAGCTCTCTTCAAAAAACTTCATCCTTGTTTTAAACTGCCTTCACAAAAAACCTTATCAACAACATTGCTTGACCAAGTACATAACAATACAAAAAATGAAGTAGACAATATAATAAGTTCAGCAAATTATATTTGTTTAGTATCTGATGGATGGTAAGTGTTATTTTTAACAGTTATTTGTAAAGAGTTTGTTTATTATTATAATCTAATAATATTTAGGATAAATATTATGCAGGAACATTGGACAAATTATTTAATTACTACACCAAAGCCAATATTTTTTTCTGCCCATCAAACTGGTGAAATTAGGCATATAGGAGAAAATATTGCAGCAGATATAGAAAACCTCATATTACAAATTGACCATTCTAAACTTTCAGGAGTCATTACTGACAATGCAAGCTCAATGAAAAAGGCATGGAAACTTGTGGCCATTAGATATCCAAATGTGTTTTTTCTTGGCTGTGTAGCTCATTCTTTAAATCTGTTAATTGGTGACATTATGAAACTTTCATGGGCAGATACTACTATGAAAAATATTAAAAGAACTGTTAAGTATTTTAAATCACATCAAATTCCAGCTGCAATTTTGAAGCAATATCAACTTTCCAACTATAACAAGCAAATTTCACTAAAATTACCTGTTAAGACACGTTGGGGATCATCAGCTGCTTGCCTTAATTCACTTCAAGTAAACCAACTTGCAATTGAATTGACAATAACAAAATTATCACAAAATCAAGCTGTTAATATTGATGAAGATATAAAAACTAGCACAAGATAATGGGTTTTGGGAAGAAGTTAGTGATTTATTTAGAATTCTTAACCAGCTTGTTATTGGAATTTCAATTTTTGAATCAGGTACACCTTGTTTATCTGGAGTTTTAGATTGGTATTATGATCAATTAGAATCATCAGGTAATGTAATGTTATCATTATTATTCAAGTAATATTGATTATTATTCATAAAAACATATTTTTACTATGTATTTGATATATAGAGGATTATATTAAAGATATTTTATAAAAAAGATGGAAAAGCATTTATTTATCACCCTATCATGGAAGTTGCACATTTACTTGATCCATCATTTCATGGCTGCTGTCTTACTTCTAATTCAATGCATAAAATTTCACAATTTATTCAAAAATTTTATTCAAATGATGCAACAATTATTTGGACACAACTCTTGCATTATAGGGAAAAAAGTGGAATTTCTGCAAATCAACTTGCTTGGAAAACAGTTGGTAAAGTTGTTCCAATAACTTGGTGGAGTGGGAATTTCATTGATTCTGCACCTGAATTAACTTAAATGGCAAAACGTGTTTTATCTATTCCAACATCATCTGCAGCATCTGAAAGAAATTGGTCAGCTTTTGCTTATATTCATGATAAGAAACAAAGTCAATTAACACCAGATTGTGTCCTAAAATTGGTATATATTTATAGTAATTATAAATTGCAAACACCACAAGAGACATCAGTGTGGAAAAGATTTTCAAATGAGTCAGAAGGATTGGATAAAAATTTATTGGGTGGGGATATTGAATTTATAGAAAATGAAAATGAAGTGAATATTTTAGTAACAGTAGTAGTAGTGAAAATGAAAAAGGAAATCAAGAATCTGATGATTTTTATGATTCTGATGTAACTTACTAAGTTAGTAAAATAATAAATTTTTATAATAAAATTTTGTATTCTAATCACAACAATAAACACAATAAACATATGTTTTATTATATATAAGCTAAAAACATGAAGATAATTTTATGGTGGATGATTTTTTAAAAAATCATTAATAATTTACTATGCACAATAAACTAAGGATTTCGCATTTTGCCATCCCTAATCATCAGTAATTATTCTTTTCAATATTGTCACCAATTGACTTGAAATAGTTCCTGGACCTTCCTTTTAACATACAATTTCTTTAAACTTATGGCTCAGGCACTTTTTATTAACCCCAAATCATATACTTTTCTTGTATTGATTTTCCTAAAAATGTACTTTAATAATATTGTGAGCTCTTCTTGTGTCCAATTCTTTGAGCCTGAGTGCATTCCACTAAAGACTAATGCTGTAATCCAAAAAAGGAAAAAGTATGGTTGCAAAAGTGGTTGCAAAGGTAATTGCAACCACTTTTTATATGCAGTAAATACAATTACTACCATCATCATAATTTACAGCACTAGTCTTTACATTCCACCATCAGATTCCAAGATACTCAACCCATCAGAATCAACTTCTCTTTCATTATCTGAATGCATTGTTTCTTCTTCATCAACCGTGATTATTAAGTATCTTGCATTTGGTGCAAGAGCTTGTCTCGAGCTAACCGCTGCTTCCTCTTCACTTTCTTCCTCTTCACCTTCCTCTCTTCCTTCATTTATTTCCATTGCTTCCTCCTAGGGATGGGGACGGTTTATGTCATCAGATTGACTTTAAAAAAAAAATTATTTTATTATGAAATAGTTAATTTATAATTCATTAATGTATATACTACATATTTATAAACATACCCTGAATTTGTTTGTAGGTTTGATAATGATACATCACCAATTGCAAAGTTTCCAGATAATGTGGTAGAAGCATCTTGTTGGTGATCTTCGTCCTCACCTTCTACTTCTACTTCCCCCCTTGAATTTTTTTTAAAAAAACCAATTAAATTAATTAGATTATGATGTAACAAGCCTTCATCAATAAAATAGTCAATGACGATGAACATGCCTCATAGATATTTCTTAGTAATTTGAAACAGAGTTGGCAAATGTGCAGTCCATTGATGGTCTATTGGTGGTCCATTGGGTCCATTAGTGTAACACTTTAATGGACCAGTCAATTTGCCAACCCTGATTTGAAAACTTCTACTGGTGTCATTTCTTTTTGTATAACAACTTTTATGATATTAAATAGGGCATCTAAATCAACATATTTAGAATAATATCATCCACTGCCAACGATTCTTATTCTATCATCATACCACTTATCAACTGAAGCAGATATCTCATTGTTCCATTCACTTGCCCAATCACCAGAACCTAAGTCAGGTATTAATAAAATTCAATATTAGCCAATTCGAAAAAAATTACAATTAGATGCCTGCTTGATTTGAAAAATAATTTTCTTCAAATTCACCCTTATTTTTTCCACTAGTATCATCATCACTCCGATGATCAATATAATATTTTTAGGGGACAATCAGTAAACCAGAATAACAAGTGACACGAACATTCTTTTAAATAATAACTAGAGTGACATCGAGTGGCAATAACCACCACCATCCTTAAAACAATTATTCGTGTTGTCCTTTGTTAGTTTGTTTACTTTTTTTTCTTTGTTTCTCTAAAATCAAAGACATTTTTTTGAAAAAGAATTATTGATTTGATCGACGCATATTAATTATTTATCCTATTACTAATGGTTTTTTTTTTTTGGGAGGACAGACGCGAATTGATTTTTGGAAAAACAATTTAATATAGAATACAAAATATAATGACATAACTAAAATATAAATATATTGTTCATGATACAAAAAAGAAACGCTTTTTTCTGAGATAATAAATGATACATCAATGAGGTAACTAACAAGATGATGATAAATGATATATTAAATTTTTTGAATATTACAGGTTATTAAAATAGTACCATAAAGTCTGGAAAGATAGCATCTCCGAAAGATAGCACCCCTACTTTAAAACAATTGAGCGTCAATATAAAAAAATTGTTACACATATGTAAAAAAAAGGGGATGCTATCTTACGGTAATGACCTTTCGCTCAATGAAAATATCACGTGAGATCGACTTATCGATGGTAATTTACAATTATTATTATCCTAGAAAAAAAGGTTGGTCGACTTACATATAGATTGACTGACTTATCAAGAGATTTTAAATGTTGAAAAAAGGGCAGAAAAAATTTGTCTGAGTTCGACTTATATTAAGAGACCGACTTATCGAGTTTACTTGTGTACATATTTAATAACATTGCCACTAAATGTTCTATTATTATAAAAATATGGTTTTAATTAAAGTTGTAATTATTTTAACGTCAATTGGGCAATTTGTCTCTTAGTTACATTTTCTTTTAAATGGTTTTGTTTTGATTTTAAATAGATGCAGAGAGCCCATGATCGAGCCAACAGTGAAAAATTTAGTTCCGCCACATTAATACAGTCATTTTTCAGTGCAAACATAATATTTTTTATTAGGTCCGATTCTGAATATCTGTTTATATATTATATAAATATATATGTTATAATCTTGGCAATTAAATAATTTTTCAATATAACCCAGTACCTAGTCATCGAGGCATATAAAGCCAGATATAAATTACTTCTTTACAAAGATGCAAATATAATGATATTTGTTTGTTCAGGCCTTTGGAACCACAGAATACTCGTGGCTAGCTTAGCATATAAATAAGCATTCTGCTTCCTAATCACTTTGTCTGGCTTTGTTACAGCGTGCCCACATATTATATAAATTTTTGCTTTTTCAAATTCAGTAAAAGAATTATAAATTTATTAATAATTTTTTCTAGGATAAAAGGAAAGAAAAGAAAAGAATGAAGTTTTTTAATTTCTTTTTAGATCCAAATTTTATTAACTGATTAAATATTCCAAATTAATAATAATATATTAAATATTGAGCTTAGTACGACGCCAATGACGACGTTTAGCATTATATCTATATAATAATAATATTAAATATCATTAAACATCATTCATTAAAATATTAACATAATAGGAAACATTCTTAATCTATAATATTGTTATTTTGCCTGATTGTATTTCCTGTACGAAGTCGAATCCAATGAGGAATCGGTCGATTTTGTTTTTGTTTTTTCCCAAGGACACGTTTGATCCTAAAAGTTTTATGAGATGGCTACATATACATGTGTATAAATATTAATTTAATTTAAAAATTCAATTCAATTCAATATATTTATACATTTATATAAAACATACCATTTTATTTATCTTTAACAATTAATTTTTTTAAAAAAAATTTTTATAGATCATCAATTTATTTTTATAATCACATGTATGACGATCATTTAAATGTGAGATTCTGTTTTTTGAAGACACATTTTAATAATAATTTACTCGGCTAATTAGTATTCATGAGGAATATTGATTTGATGTTAGATGCCACTAAAAAAGTCCCTTAAAGTATTGATCCCTGTCATCATTTAAAGAATTCTTTTATTTAAATAATAATATAAATTCAAATTCAAATTCAAACTCAAATTGTTTTTTGCATATTAATTCGCATCATTAATAAAAAAGCAAGATTCAATTTGGCGGTGACCACCAATAATTTACAACTAGTCCAATAAGTCAAATGTCTTAATTTAAATAAGTACAATGGCTTGTTAAATGAGTACCTACCCGTATTTCACAAATCCTAGGTACATTCGAGGTACCATGTGTCAAGGGATGCAGAGTATCCTAGAATTCCGATTCAGTCTACGTTTGCCTACAGTACACATATGACGATTGATCCATGAATGCGTCATCATGCTAGCCGAGGCGATAAAAAAGAAATGTGTGTTCACTAAGCCTTCTATGTCCTATCGACTATGACGAGCCATGTTTGACCTATTCGTAATTTGCTCGAGCTCGTTGAGCCGAATTGCCATACATGGATCGCATTTCATAACGTATTCAAATTTCAGGATTGAGGTAATTGCGTTACTTTTCACAATGCATTCGGGTTTCTAGGGCTAAGATACATAGTATCGATATGGTGTCCGTTATTTACGAGGGTTGAGGCGCGTAGTGTCGGAACGCATTCATTTAGTAGTACCACAAAGCAAAATTCCTTTTTTTCTTTCATTATATTATTCTACTATCTATGTTTTCCGCTCTAGAACCCTTTCTCGCATAGTTGATACCTCATAAGCTCCATTTTTTTTATTTAAATAGCATGTATGTTAGCTCACTATATCATAGAAAAATGTAATAGTGTGTTAATTCATTAGTATTAGCAATTACAGACCAATTCCATTGATATAATTCAAAAAATAAAAAATGTATGAAGAATCAGTTTATTCATCCGGAAAGACTATGAAATGATATATCTCATCCTGATTCGACTTTTTTATTATTAGGAAACTTGGAAGGAAGTTAGGGATCAACAAGATAGGAATGTTAAATCTGACATCTAAAGCTCAACATATCAGATTTAGTATTATTCATGGAAATGATTTTTAAGTAGCTTGCGATCGAAAAAGGAACACAGAGGCCCAACCAGAGGGAGGCTTAACCACTAAAACTTTTCCGTTACCACTTGGATGACAAGATGATGGAACCCTTTGTCCTATACGGAAAGCACGGAAAGGTCGGATTAAAACAAATCCACATCAAACCCTCACACAGTAAAAACGTTTCAAAAGTTTTGAAGCAAACGATGTTCAGGTCTTTTTCAAAATTGATTTCATTCTGAACGGTCTTTCTTTCTTTAAGGGATGATTGAATATTTGGGTGATGCAATTCATTCATTTCTTAATCCTTTATGGAGCTGATTTTTATGGGTCAGTAACATAGAAGTAAAAAGCTAAAGAATGGTCCGATCACAATTCACTTCCGAAGTCAAGCATTTTTGTGATTTTATTTATTATGGCTATGATGCTTTTAATATCGTTAGTAAAAAATCTTTACTTGAACTTTGAAGTTTTACAGTTTTACATGAAATTTTCTTTAAACATTATTTGGATTTAAAGACCCTGTAATCGTGTAGACATAAATGCTCACCTTAGTACACCCATATGATGTAACATGCCATTTTCCCATCACATTATGCATTTGCAAAATGTAAAGATGTATTCTAGAATTTTCAATTTCAAGCACGTATTTAGAAATATTATATGATCGAATAAAGTATATATTTGCTTTTGCATTTTTTGGATTAAATATTTTGTGGTTTTTATTTAAATAAAATTAATAATGAATGTTTTTAATTTAATATTTTTCTGCCATAATTAAAGTAACTAATGCTGTCCAGCCTGTAAAAGGATGACTAATAACAATAATAAACAGTTCAAAAAATTTAATTTGCTTTAATTAATTTTTCAAAAATTTTTATTTCTTTTAACAAATTATTTAAAAAAATATTATCTAACCTTCTTGATCCTTTACCATCAATAGAAGAATATTGTTCCCATACATATCCAGTTCTCTCAAATTCCTATTTATCGTCATGTTGTTATTATTATATTTCACTATTATATATACTTTTATATTTTATATATTTATGAAATATAATTACTTACTTTAAATACATTATTGATAATATTATTTCTTAATTCTTTATATATAGTTTGAGCTTTAGTTTGATAAGGCCCAGGATTCTTTGCATAATTCTATTTAGTATTATTATTATGATATAACATATGTAAGTCTCAAATAATGTGTAGATTTTTTTCTAAAAATAAAAATCAAATTACCTTATAAAGAGAAGATAATATTAAATAATTAATGTTTATCCAAACTGGACCTCTCCAATAATTTTCATTTGTGCCAAAAAATTCATCGGATTTTGATAAAGATCTTATTCCGTACCTGTTTTTTTTTTTTTTTTTTTACATTTTTTAAGAAACAGTTTTTCCATTTATTTATTTATTTATGAAAAAATTTTTTTTAAAAGAAAAAGGATACGGTGACCATAATTCATTTGGATCGTAAATTAAGTCCAATAAAGATTCAAGTTTTGGCGAATCGTTTGGTATAAATTCAAGAAACAAAGGAAATAAAGACAAATATCCTTTATGACAAACAAATATCGATTCCTCTACTCTTCCCCATAATAATAATAATAATAATAATAATAATAATAATAAAATAATTGATTAGTTAATTACCTTAAATCTAATTACGATAAATATATGTATATTACCATCTTCATCAATAGAAAGATCACAAAAGACTTTATCGTTTTCACTCCAATGCAGATCTATATATATAAAGAACTCGAATCTTATCAATCAAAATGAAATACAAAATAATAGATAATCATAATTCGATTGATTTATAAATACCATGTAAATTTTGTGAAATTTTTTTAAAATCGTTAGTAAAATCTTCAAAATCATCTTCCTCATTTAATCTTTTAGAAATTATTGATAAAGTTCTTGACATAAGTCCTACCCAGCACATCAAGTCTACATGTAATTCTGATGGATGTGGTGGACTTGGCCTTGGATAATCATCAAGTCCTTTTTTTAACCAAAAAATTACAATATACAATTTAATAAATCATTATTTTTTTTTTTGATAATCATTATTTAAAAGAGACCGAAATTTACCAGAGGTTAATGTATGACCAGGTGTTCTACCTCTCCACCTATAAGCCTCTCTATTATTACTAGCTTTACGACCCCATTCTTTAATTTCACCCCGTTGAGTTCTTCTAAACCACTCATAATTCAATTTTAATTTTTCATAAATCTGTTTTAAATATTTATCACCCAACTCTGGATTGATTAAATGTTGTATTGGTAATAATTCTGGATTTGTAGTGGCGGATAAGTTATCTAATATAATATCTTGTTGTTGTAAAAGAATTTCTAATAATAACAATAATTTATTTGTGAATAAATCAAATAAAAAATAAGTATTCTTTTTAATTTCCTTTGGAGTGAAATTACCTTGAACATTTAAATAAGTTTGATTTTCAAAATTTTCTAATCTGTCAATAAAAGATATTATTGACATGTATAGTGTAGGAGGATTTGCATAATATGGATATTGTATTTGAAATTCTGGTGGTACCTGATTTTTTATTTTTTAAAAATTCCCAAAATCTTAATAAAAAAAGAAATGGAGATATATCTAACAATTAAAGTGACAATTAAATAAATATTTACCTTACTACGTGCTTCTTCACCTAATATTTGTTCTCTAGCAATCCAACCATCATTATCAATTAAATTTACCCAATTCATTGTGATATCTAAACTATATGTCGAACAAAAGCGCGCGGTACATGTATTTGTGCGTGTTAAAATATATCAAAAATAAAAATCTTTTTGAAAAAATATTTATTAAATTTGCCTAAGATCATTATCCCATTGACCAATCAAAAGTTGATGGAAACCTTCATCCCTAAATTATTTTAGGGATAATAAAATAATTTAGTTAACAGTGATTTAATAATAAAGGATAATAAGCAAAAGAAATATCATTACCAATAAAATCCACGAGGGAAAAATGATCTAGAAGGAGTTGCAGTAAATAAACTTGTGGGTAAAGTTAAAGTTGGATTAGATTTTGTTAATTTCTCCCAAAAATTTTCTACTTCCTCCATATCATCTTCGTCACCACTATATGTTCTGTCAACCATACTAGATCCATAAAAGTATCTATATAACAAATAAACAAATAATTTAATACTTAATATTTTATACTCAAAATAATTAAAATAAATTATATTTTTTTTGATTTAGAAAAAAATCTAACCCAATCCCTCCTAATAAATTGCTTGTAATTGATTGAGCAAATTTAATTTGATTACTATTAAAACCTTTTTCTGTTAATTTAAAAGTATTTTCAAATCTCTGGTCAAATTCTTTTGAATTTTTTTCAACTAATACTCCCAAATTACCAGCTAAAAAATATGCAACAATTAATCAACTAGTCAATATTATTATCATTAAATAATAACAAGTAACTTATTGTTGTTAACTTACAGTCAATATTTGTGGATGACAGATCAGATTGATAAATTATATCAAACTATAACATATATTATGTGTGTGTATATATATATATGAGTGCATGTATATGATATTCTTTATTTCAATAAAGATATAGATTTTTTATTTATTTCACTTAATGTTGTTTTACCTGGAATGATCCTTCAAATATTTTTTGAAATGCATAAAAATTTGAATCTTCTTCAATTAAATTATTTAGTAAAAATGAATAATGTGGTGGTGGAAATTCTTCATTAGAATATTTCTCTTTTATTATTTGAATTTTTTTTTGTAAATTTATTAGTGCTATATCTTTAAAATAAAAAATGATGTTAATAATCGTAATAATAATAATAATAATAATAACAACAATAATAAAAACAACAATAATTCATTCATTCATTAATTAGTTAATTAATTAATTTCTAATACTCTATAATTTTGTAAATCATAATTTATACCTTTTGCTTTCCATAAATCATCGTCAGATATCAATTGACCAAAAAATTGTGTTTTAGATATATCAGCAATCTCATCATTATAAATTGGATTGACTGTCGGACTTTGATTATTTGAATCTAAATATAAATTAAACATTTTATTAATAATAATTTTTATAATAAATCATGTATAATTATAATTATGTTTGTGTAAATAATAATATAATAAATACCATCCACTATTTTAATATTAAAGTTGCCAAGGTCAGGTGTTTCACCCTTTAATATAATATAATCATCTAATCCCTTTAATATTAAAAATTAATTAATGAACAATAATAATAAAATTATAATATTTTACATACACACTAAATTATAATAAATATACCATTTTATCAATCGGATTGATCAGATCAATGTATCCTTCACCCTCAAGAGCAAAATAATAAAAAATTGAAGTTTTTGAAGGTTTATCTTGTTTAAAAAAAAAAAAAAAACAAAATATCATTTTAAATACCAAAAATTATTCTCATCAATAAACCAACAATATACATTAAATCTTTAGTAGTTACCATAATCAATAGGTTTGCCTGATATTCTTACAGCCCAATCACCACCTTATTTACGACAATGATATCGATTAATAAATAAAAGAAATTACTTTTCACAATTTGTTATTTATATTCACCTTTTCCACCACCACTGGAAACTTTTACAAATTCAGATTTCAATATTATATTACTGACTTCATCTGTTATAGTTTGCACTGCAAAATTTCTTCCATCATGTTTCTTATAACTATACTCTTTCATTTTATCCGCCTGATCGCATTGATGTCTAAAATCTTTAACAAATATAATAAAATAAATTCATTATTTATGTAATAGATAAATCACAATGATATTGATGATGATGATGGTGATGATGATGATTAGGATACTTTTTAGTGAATAATAATCCCCAAGTCCAAACCACATTAATCCACTTAATAAAGATTCGGGTAATCTTGGTCTAACTCCAAAATATAAATTAGGTCTATATGTTCCCCAAAATAATGATTCATTCGCTGCTAAATGCATTGAATAATCTTTTTCATGTAGATTTGAAGAATTTGCTATCCCGATATTTAAATATAATAACGATAATATTTTTAATAACAGCATTATACTAAATTGTAATAAAGTATGCTTCCGTAACATTATTTTTATATTTATGAAAAAAATAAAATTTTCGGAATGCATCCAATTAAACGCGTTAAACGAAAAATGAGCAAATTATCTGATTGGTTGATCTGGATAATTTATATTTGAAAAATTTTTTAAATAAAATTTTTTATCAAACAATATAAATTTAATTACTCTTAGAAAATGCTAGTGTTATTTGAATTAGCTTCAGGATATGCTGTTTTCAATGTCAATGATGATGGTGCAATAAAAGATCCAGAGGCTTCATGGAAAATATTTGATTCGCAAAAATCTATAAAAAAAAAGTAAGTGAATCCAAAATAATTTTTTTAGTTCTACATAATATATATATATATATAGAGTATACCTTTTTTTATATTAAATTTTTTGAATGTAATTATTTTTATTCAAACAGTATTACTGTTGAGGCTATGCATAAATTTAAAAGCATGACAGATGCAGTAGCTTCACTTAATACAGTTATTGAAGGAAAGCTATCTGACGATTTATCGAAATTTTTAGGCGATATTATCGAAAAGAATCCAAATAATGTGTTGGCAGTAGCAGATGCTAAACTTGGTGCTGAAATAAGTAAAAAATTAGGAGTTCAAGTTGTTGCAGATAAATCCGTGATCAATCTTTATCGTGGACTTCGTGAACAACTTGAAAATATACTTCCCGACTCTAAAGAATTATTATCCGCAATGTCACTAGGTCTTTCTCATTCGTTGTCACGACACAAACTTAAATTTTCAATTGATAAAGTTGATACCATGATAATTCATTCTAGTGGTTTGTTAGAAGATCTAGATAAAGAGATAAATACATATGCTATGAGAGCAAAAGAATGGTACGGTTTACATTTTCCAGAAATGAGTAAAATAGTTGAGGACAATCTAGCCTATGCAAAAGTTATCAAGACAATTGGGTTTCGTTCAGATGCTCAATCATCAGATTTATCAAGCATATTACCTGAAGAATTAGATAAACAAGTAAAAGAGGCAGCAGAGGTATCGATGGGTTCAGAAATAACACAAGACGATCTTGAAAGTATTTCTCAATTCTGTGATCAAATTATTAATTTGTCTGAATATCGTGCTCAACTTCATGAATATATACGAAATAGGATGAAGATGATGACTCCTAATTTAACAACTTTAGTTGGTGAATTGATTGGTGCAAAATTAATATCGCATGCTGGAGGTTTGACAAACCTTGCAAAATTGCCTGCAAGTACGGTTCAAATTTTAGGAGCAGAAAAGGCATTTTTCAGAGCAGTAAAAGCAAAAAAATCTACACCCAAATATGGAATTTTATATCATGCAAGTCTTGTTGGCCAAGCATCTGCTAAAAATAAAGGGAAAATTGCCAGATTAGTTGCAACAAAATCTTCTCTTTCTGCTCGTGCTGATTCTTTTTCTGAAGAAAAAGATGTCGATGCTGAAATGGGAAATAAGTCTCGTAAATTTATTGAAAAAAGGCTTAATATATTGGAAAAAACCAAGGATGTTTCATCATCATCAACAAAAAAAAAGAATAGCAAAATGCAAGGTCTTATTTCCACCGCTACTTCCTATAATCCTTCTACTGATATCATAAAAGAATCAATACAACCAATGGAAATTTGCAAAGATTCTGATAAATCTGAAGAGTCCGAGGAGACTGTTAAAATGGAGATTGTTGAAGAAACTCAAGATGTTGAAAAACCAAAGAAAAACGACAAAAAAAGAAAAAAAGATAAGGGAGAATCTAAAGCTGATGAACAAGAAGAGTCTGCTGAAATAAAAGGATCAACCAAAGATAAGAAAAAAGACAAAAAGATTAAAAAAGAAAAGAAAAAATTTAAGGCTAACGAACAAGAAGAATCTATCAAATCTAAATCATTAAGCAAGAAAGGTAAAGAAAAATCTAAAACTGACGAACAAGAAGAACCTGTCGAAGCTAAATCGTCAAGTAAAAAGAGCAAGGAAAAATCTGAAACTGGTGAGCAAGAAGAGGAACCTGTCAAAGCTAAATCGTCAGGTAAAAAAGGCAAGGAAAAACCTGAAACTAGTGAGAAAGTAGAGGAACCTGTCAAAGCCAAATCGTCAAGTAAAAAGAGCAAGGAAAAATCTGAAACTGGTGAGCAAGAAGAGGAACCTGTCAAAGCCAAATCGTCAAGTAAAAAAGGCAAGGAAAAACCTGAAACTGGTGAACAAGAAGAAGAACCTGTCAAAGCCAAATCGTCAAGTAAAAAGAGCAAGGAAAAATCTGAAACTGGTGAACAAGAAGAAGAACCTGTCAAAGCTAAATCGTCAAGTAAAAAGAATAAAGAAAAATCCAAGGCTGATGAACAAGAAGAATCTGCTAAAGTTAAATCATCAAATAAAAAGCGTAAAGCAAAATCTAAGGCTGACGAACAAGAAGAATCTGTTGAAGCTAAATCGTCAAGTAAAAAGCGCAAAGAAGAATTTGATATACAAGAAGAATCTGCCGAATCTAAACCGTCAAGTAAAAAGGGGAAAGAAAAATCTAAAAGTGATGAACAAGAAGAATCCGTTAAATCATCAGGTAAAAAGGATAAAGAAGAATCTAAATCGTCAAGTAAAAAGGATAAATCTGGTAAAGTGAAGACCGAAAAGAAAGAATCGGTGCAAATAGCAGATGTGGAAGAGCACGGAGAGACTTCAAAAAGTGCCGAAAAATCAAAGAAAAAAGATAAAAAGGATAAAAAGGATAAAAAGGATAAAAAAGAATCAAAAGCTACAAAACGTAAACATGACGGTTCAGATGAGGGTAAAGATGATGGTAAAGACGATGGTAAAGATGAAAAAGGTGAAACTTCAAAAGAATTTTTTATTCAAGTCTTTTTTAAATTTTATTTTTGATTAATTATATATAAACATTTTCTTTTATTATAGAACTTGATCCTAAAAGAAAAAAGAAAAAATCAAAGAAATAACTGAAGTCTGACCTCCAAAAATCCTTTAAAATTTCCAATTTCTGTAATATTTTATTTAAATTTTATTTATTAAAAATAAAAGTTTTTCATCACGCACGATCCCTTGGAAAAGAAAAAACAACAAAGGGATGTAGCAAATAGTAAAAAAAGGAGAGAATGTCCATAAGTTAACCTACTAGCCGGGAAGAATACAATCAAGAACTGGCCCAGTTAAAAAACCAATTTGATTGATTTTAATCAGCACAATCACGAAAACCCAGAGTTTATGGAAAGAAAAATTACAATAATATTCGTAACAAAGAATTTATTGAAAAAGGAGGATTTCCCATCATTTGCTCTAAAAATATCGAAAGAACTGGTAGAAATCAAGTCTCGAAAGAAGCTTTATTTACCAGTATTTAAAATGCTGAATTATTTTAATAAAGAAGTGAGTTCTACCACTTCTATCCCTGAAACGGAAAATTTATCCGACTCTTTGCTTTCTCGTTTGGATTGAATTAATATGCCAACGAAGAATTTTTTTTTAGAATAAGCATTACTATTGATTTTTGGTGTCTACACTCCTCATTAAAACTTTGATCCCCGAAACTCCTGGTAACAAAAGTGTTCATTTTGTCTGGTTTTGTTACAAAATCACGGAGAACCCAAAAGCAAATTGACTAAAAGTTTTCAATTAAATTAGTAATTGCCCAATGTAATAAAAATAAGAATTATATAATATTTACATTTACTCGCGTTAATTAAAATTTTTTTACAGAATCACTAATTACTATTAACAAATATTTCTATGTAGTAATTAAGGATCTTTCTATTTACGTGTAGTGAAAGAAAGACTGTTTAAATTATTGTCTATAGTTGTTATTGTATATTGGTAAGAATTTCTAAAAATTGTTTTTTAAAACATCAAAAATATTTATAAGTTACCATGTTGTTTGGTTAATTCTGAACAATTGGGTGTATGAGAATTATTTTCTCTAAGAAAAAGAATTACTTGTTATTTCATTTGGTTCTTTTAAAAATTTCTTCGATAGTTTCTTCAAAATTTTTCCTTCTTCCCGTTAATATATCTTCCCAAAACTTTTTTTCGTTCACCTTTCAGCTCTTTTAATCAAATCGTTCAAATTAGATCGCTATTGAGATACGAATAGCCTGTTTTAGCAATTGTTCATTAACTTGTCTCTTGACTTCTCATCTACTTTACTAGATGCAATTCTTTCCAATATTGTTTTTGAGATGATGGCGGTGTTGCTGTTGGCGGCGAATATTTCTAAGCTTCAAGTGAAGACATAAGGGACAATTTTTTCACCATGTTCTTTCTTCAAAATACTTCTGATTGTACTATAAATTCTTGGGTTCCATGGTAGATCTGATGTAAACGAGTTTCATATTTATGGTTTTATTTATATAAGTTAACAGAGGGGACATTATAAAATCGTTAATATTAATAGTAAAATCCGAAATCCTTGGTAATATATTAATGATTTATGATTTACATAATCACTAGAATGAAAGATGTTCACATTTGAATAATCTTTTGAATATAGGTCATTTTTTAAATGATAAATAAAAATTATAAAGTAAAATTTTTTTACCCAATATATTCATATAATTTGTGAAATACGTATTTTTATGGACAAAAGTCACTTCACATATTAATATGTTATTTGTTGAAATCAGATACATAACGGATGTTTACGGTAGGCCAAAATGGAAGCACATTAGGTACATGTTTATAAGTCATCTGGTAATCAATCAATCACATGTGTTATTTTAACCAAGGATACTTATTTAAAATAACTAACCCTAGCAATAGTAGTAGCAGTAGTGATAACAATGAACTCCATAGAGATGATGATGATGATGATGATAACAATGGTGGTGGTGGTTTATAAAGCATTTTTATATACAGCAACTTTTTATTTTTATTTTAAAGGATGCTACATGATAAATGAAGAAGGCAATATTACTGAGAGTGAACCATTTATAAATATCTCTTATTTCCATTGTATTGTCTTAACATCCAAACACATACGTGTTGTAAACGTACGGCTGACTTTAATCGGCCAAAGAAAATTAAAGTAGAAACTCTATAGAAGCCTTTGTAGAAGGGCTACCTTTATTTATGGTTATTTGTACCATAAATTGTGCTTACAGATTCGCCAATGTTTAAGAAAGAGGGATAAATTCGTAAAATTAATTGACGAGCATTGTATATAAAAGCGACAAGTTTAGCTAAAAAGTTGACTCAAACTCGACGAGAAAACGTAAAATAATCGATGTTGATCAAAAAGTTTACCTTTGGAATTTTTAGGACCGATTGATATTAACACGGAAATTCAAACCCTTTTGAATGGTCGGTCGATCGGTAATAACCCTGTAAATTAAATTAATTGTTTGCTTGATGGAAAAAATCGAATTAAAAAATAAATAGGCAAGAAGATAATTGCTTACAAATCACCATATGCTTGTTTCAAAATACTTGACATTCTTTAAAATTCTTGTATTACTTTCTAAGCCAATTATATTACATACTAATACTTACGTTTTTTTTAATTAATCTGGTGATTTTTTTGTATGAATTTATAGTAACTCTCCGTGGAAATTTTATATTACATAAGGTATAAACGAATAATCTTTGGTTTTAATATCATTGTTAATTTCTTTTCATTTTAAGTTTCCGGTTAGTATAACACCAACTAAATAAGCGGTAGTCTTTATTGCCATCAACTCCCACGCAATAATTGGTGAAAATAATAATAAAGCAAATTAGACTAAATGTGCCATTACTAGCGAATAGCACGGGGTTTGATTTGATATGGTTTATCAAGTCGAAACTTGTTCTCAAGCCAAAGTTTGCTATCATTCAAGAAAAGTTATTCAAGTACATTAAATCCAGATTGATTGCTTATATACAGTGTGTTTAAAAAAAAATAGCGGTTTGTAAAATATTGTTTTAATGAAAAAGTAGCCAAAATTATGTAATAAAAATTATACTAGAGAATTGGAAGAGCTTAGATTATAATATAGAAAAGTTTTGAAGTATATTGTTATGTAGGCTTTAGAGCAATATTAAATAATTTACACATTTGAATGGTTTTTTCAAATAATTAAATTCCTTTTATTTTCAATTGACAAAATTCTAGAAAATCTGAAAGTGTGAAACTTTATATACATAATCTCCGGAACTTTTGCTACAGACTGGTATAATTTTTTGCATAATTATTATGTATATGCTTGTGTCAGAGCCATCATTAAAAAATTCCATGTTAAAATTTCAGGGACAAAAATTTAGCAAAGTTCTAAAAAAAATATATGAATTAGCTTTACATAAATTTGCAATAGCATTTATATTTGTTTTTTATTATTTAATAAACTATGTTGTGTAATTGTTGTTGAGATATGTGATACTTTTGTGACCGCCATTTTGAAAAATCAGTTAAATAGTGAATGATATTGCTGCTGTTAACATTTATACCAGTTCCACTTATTAATATTAGTTGATCTACTTACTGTATACACGTATAAACGAATTTAATTTAAAATTTTCCATTATCATCCATCATGTCGCAAATTAATGAAAATGTTAATGTTACAGCTGGTAGCAGTAATAACAGTCAAGTAGAAAGTATCAAAGAACCAGTAGTTATTGAAGAAGACAGCATTATTCCACCTGAAGATAATTATAATATTATTTATTATATTTTTTTTTTACAAGGAATTGCAATGCATTTACCGTGGAATGGTTGGTATTAAATCAATATTATCATATATTATTATGGTGTTAATATTAATAACAATCTTATTTTTATTATTAATTAATATTGGTATATTGTATTGTTTTTAGTATTCATTACAGCCTCAGTATATTATCATACTAGATTTGTTGGATCACCCTATGTTAATAATTTCCAAAATTATTTTTCATTTGTTTTTATGATCATTAGTTTTATTTTTTTTGTGTTAGCTTTATTTACTCACAAAAGGGTAGTTATAAATTTCTTAATAATAATGATGATGATAATAACAAGAATAAAATATTAACACAAAATATATTTAATAATATATAGTCAAATACATCACTTAGAATAATAACATCATTAGCAACTTCGGTGATTAGTTTTTTATTAATATCATTATCAACGCGAAACAGGGATTTGGTCTCACCTACAGTATATTTTTATTTTGTTATATTTTTGGTTGGTATATCTGGTGTAACAACTGCTTATTTACAAAATGATATATTTGGAATTACTGCTCAAATTTCACCTAAATATACTCAGGCTGTTATGAGGTGAATTAATAATAATTATATATAATATATAATAATGATAATATAATAATTGAATATTAATAGTAAATATATTATATATATATATATGTTTTAGTGGTCAAGGTACTGTATTTTTATTTATTTAACTATTATATATTATATAAATGTTTAAAATAATGATTATAATTATGAATGTTACTAGGATTGGTTGGTTTAGGTGTGTCAATTTCACAAATTGTCAGTGTTTTGAATCCTAAACAATTAACAAACAATGATGATGATGTGGAATTATCAAATAGTGCATTTATTTATTTTTTAAGTGCATTTATAGTTCTCATAATTTCACTAATCTCATATGTCATATTGACAAAATTACCATTGTTTTTGTATCATCATCAAAGTAAAAACATTGATATTATAATTGAGGAAGAAGATAATGAAGAAAAGCCTTTATTAAATAAAAAATCATTCAACACCACATTTATCAGAATAATTAGATTAGTATATTCAATAATATTTGTATTCATGATCACATTATCATTATTTCCATCTATCACAACTTCTATCAAGTCAACAGCAAAAGATGATGAAAAATCAGGTTATCAAAAGGATTATCTATTTATACCACTACACTTCCTGATGTTTAATTTTGGTGACTTGTTAGGGAAAAGCTTACCAATAATCAAATTCTTTGTTATTAAAAATATAGATTTGTTGATGTTGATGTCCACATCACGTATCATATTCATACCATTAATATTATTATGTAACACTGATATTGGTGGCAAAAGATTATTTCCATTATTAATAACAAATGATTTCTTATATTTCTTTATTATACTTTTATTCTCATTTTCAAATGGTTACTTGGCATCTTTAATTATGATGACAGGTCCACAAATTCAAAATGTTAATAAAGGCTTAGCTGGAATACTTTTAACATTTTGTATGGTTTTTGGTTTAACAATTGGCTCATTATTATCATTTTCTATAAGATCTTTAAGTTGTGGTGGGTGTAATCCTTTCATTAACTAAAATATATTTACATATTTTATATATACATTTATATATTGTATTGTTGAATTTATTGCATGTAATTTTTAATTATTATTATTAAATAAAAGAGCTTATTTCACGAATTTCAATTATTAAAAAAAATTTTTTTCAAAAATAATCGGCTTTCTTTTATTTTTAATTGTCGAAGTTATAGAAAATATAGAACCATAGGATTACATATACATAATCTCTAAACCTTTAGCTACAAGCTGGTATAATTTTTTATATAATCTATTATGTGCGATTTGCAATCATTAAAAAAACCATATCAAATGTTTAAGTTAAAAAATTTCAAAGTTTAAAAAAATGGCAATAGTATTTCATATTTTTTTAAATAAAATAATTGATTATTCTTATGAGGCAATATTTAAAGCGACGCAGGCAGATATTAAAAGGTTAGTAAGCCTCTCTTAATTATATATTTTTTTTGGTGTTGAATTTTTCTCATGTTAATTTTTTTTTGGTCCAAGCTCAATTTTTGAAACAAGCTACAATCTTGGTCTGTACAACAATAAAAAAATTGTTGGGGCTGGCTGCGTAAATCAAGTGAGCACTTGGCTAAACTAACTAAATTATTATTAAATTAGAATTTAACCCTTTACGCTACCAGACATGGACAAGGCAGGTATTCTTCTTGTTTACAAAACAAATCCATTGGTGGATATAGATAACAATCAATGATAATATTAGAGTGAGTGTATTTAGGCAAGAGACTTGCTAAATTTATCTCATTTCATCAATAATAACCCAACAGGTTACTGGTTCATCTAAGGTTTCGAATGAATCGACGAAATTCGAATCAATATATATCTACTATCTAATGTATAAATAAATTAATTCAATGAATTATGATTTGTTTGATTTGATTTGATTCATATTGATATACACTATCTAAATCGGTCCCGTTTACTTCGTCGAAAATTATTTCGTCGACAATCACTTCATCGACAATCATTTCGTTGAAAGTTCATTTTGTCGAAAGTTCATTTTGTCGAAAGTTCATTTTGTCGAAAGTTTGTTTTGTCGAAAGTTCATTTCGTCGGCTTATGTATCGTACTAATGATAAATGAGGTGATGATAGTGATGGCAACAATATTGACATTGAATATTTTAGTATTGATAATAATTATTGTTTTTTAGTAGAG